GAGGAAAATAAATGATAAATTAACATTTATAAATAAATTTTACAATTACAGTAAGATTTGCCATAGGCATGAATATTTAAAATAGAAAATAAATGGTTGCCAGTGTGAAAAATTGTGAACCCATACCAGGAGTTCTAAAATATCTCTGCCTACTTTCAGATATTTTTTAAAGTTTATTTCTTTTAGTCTTTTATTGGGTGAAGGGGGTGGTGCACACGTGCCACAGTGTGCTGGTGGCAGTCAGAGGACAACTGGTATAGGTGTATGCCTTCGGCCGCATTTCAGGCAGACGCTCTTGTTTTGTCACTGCATACACTAGGCTAGCTGACCACAAGCATCTAGGGATCCTCCTGCCTCAACCTCCCATCCTGCCATGGAGTGTTACAGTTACAAACATGTGCTACCACTCTGGCCTGTACATGAGTTCTAAGGATTTGAACTCAGGCTTCATGTTTGTGCAGCAAGTTCTTATACCCCCTGAGCCATTTCTCCAGTACCAATTTTAAAGAAGCTGGGCATGGTGGCACACCCCTTTAATCCCAGCACTTGGGAGGCAGAGGCAGGCAGATTTCTGTGAGTTCGAGGCCAGCCTGGTCTACATAGTGAGTTCCAGGTCAGCTGGGGCTACAGGGAGACCCTGTCTCAAAAAGACCAAAAAGAAAAAAAAAAAAACAATTTTAAAAGAAATAACCTTAAAAATGTGTATCTTCACCACAAGCTTGGCCTGGAAGCACCATGGGAGAAAAGAGGAAACTAGATTAAAGGCATGCCCCCAGCAAACCACTTCTTGGACTAAGCTCCACCTTCCACAGTTTCTACAGCCTCACAGTAATGTATTCAGTTATTAGTTATTAGTTCATCAACACATTAATCTGCTTATTAGGTCAGTGCCCTCATGAACCAGTCAGTTTCCCAAATCCCACCTATGAGTATGGCTGCACCAAGAGTCAATTCTTCAACACATGAGCATTGTCAGAAATCTTCATATCCAAACCATTTACAGGACTGTGAAAAGCATTATAGAGCTTAAATATGATATTATACACCATTAATAGTGCTGTAATAAATTCATTGTAAATTGTACTGTAAATATGGTTTCCTATTCATTGACTATCCAGTTTCAAAATTTACCCTGTATTCCAGGTACAAATTTAAGCAACTCATTCAGGAAAAAAAAAAAAAAAAAGGCATATCCTACATTGTTGCTTCTATGACAGATTACACTTTTCAAAGCTAGGTGCAGCAGTGTTTCTATTCCTATGCATTTCATGATTGACACTCTCCTGCAGAGGTAAGGTCTGCTTCCCTTCTTCTTCAAATTACATGTGACTTTGTGACCGCCTCAACCCAAGGACAGTTGTGGACCTATGCAAACTTCTGGACTCATTCTTTAAAGGAGATAGAGCCTTCTTTTGTTCATTCTTACTTTCTCTATTTCTTTTTCATTCTAGCTCTGCAATCTAAACCTCATAATATAGCTGCATGCTTGAGACAAAAGTCCAGGGTGTATGCAGTGGCCACCTGTTCTAACTGACAGACCCAAGTCTCATCCTAAGGTCTATATATTCAACCCAGAATACATAGAACAGCCTTATTTTGATGTAGCCTGACTCTGAACAGAGTAAAAATGAGCTATCCTCACTGAACCATGTCCTGCCCAAACTGTGGTTATATGTAAATACAATGATTGTCTTTCTTAAAGGGGTTTTGAGCATTGTGCTATTGACAGGCCGTGAAGAGATATCCTCACATGATAAGAGGTCTGACAGCACTTCTTACCTCTTGGCAGGAGTGTCCCCGACCCAGATCTTGATAATCAAAAGTGTGTCTTGGTAGGTAAAACTACCTACTCTTAGGTGAGAATCACTGCTCTAAGTCACTAAGCTCATTGCCGTCATTTGTTATACAGTAGAGTGACAGTGTTTCTCTCCCTGACCTGTACCCCACCCCCAACAACGTCCCCAAGGTAATCTATCCATGTCCGTGTGATGTCCACAAGTGGGTATGTAGTAAATGCTCATACAATGCATAAGATTCTCTGAACAGTATTTTACAAAAGACGGATTACAAAAAGGAGGATTATACAGATTTATTTATATATTTTTTCTCAATAATACACTGTAGAGATCAAGTAAAGTGGAACAATTTTAAAATAATCTTCTAAATTTTTTATAACATAATAAACTATTCAACTATTACATTGGAGAGAGAATATTACATAGCACATTCAATACTTCCTCTCTTGATGGATGTTTAATAATTTCCATAATTTTGATTCTAAAATTTTATATTATAGTATTTCTGTCTATATATCCTCATATGGTAGTGACATATTTGTTTACTTACTATGGTTAGATTTTCAGGAGAATATTTAAGGAAGTAATGGAGATATATATTATATATGATATGTATTTTGTGTATATATTAGTCTTGGCCCAGCTGGAACACACTATGTAGATCAGCTGGCCTCAGTCCCACAAAGATCTGCCTGCCTCTGCCTCCCGAGGGCTGGGATTAAAGGCATGCACCACCACGCCCAGTGTGGGTTTATAAATTTTTAAATTAACTGGTTAATTTTTATTTTAAGTGTATGAGTGATTTGCCTGTTCATATGTAAGTGCACCCGCATCATTCAATACCTACAGAGGCCAGAGGAGAGGATTGGATTCCTTGGAGCTGGAGTTAAGAATGATTGTGAGCTGCCATGTCCGTGCTATGTCCACAAGTGGGTATGTAATAAATGCTCATTTGCTGGGAACCAAATCCAGGTCCTCTGCAAGAGCAGCCAGTGCTCTTAAGTGCTGAGCATCTCTCCAGCTCAAGCTTTTAAAATATTCACAAATGCTACCAGATTGCTTCCTTCTAAATTGACAGAATTTTCACTAGCAGCACACAATATTTTTCATTTGTGCAGAACATTTTATGAACCACATATTTTCAATAAGTGCATATATTATAAATATAATTACAAATGTCTGTATATTTTTTATATGCACATATATGTATGTCCTTTTCCATCTTTATAAGTATTTTTGTGTACTATTATTAATATCTTTTAAATTATTTTCACTTATAAGTGCTTTATATCTGGGGGTAGTTCAACTGAGAGAATGCTTACCCAATACTATATAAATCAGAAGTTGAGGAACATGCTTATAATCTCAACAATCAGTAGATTGGGGCAAAAAAAATCAGAAATTCAAAGTGATCTTCAGTTACATATTGTATTTGAGGCTGGCCTCAGCTACATGAGACCCTTCTTCAGAAATGAGCAAAAGAGAGAAAGGAAGAGAGAGAGAGAGAGAGAGAGAGAGAGAGAGAGAGAGGAGGGAAGGGAAGTGGGAGAGAGGAGAGGGGAGGAAGGCAGGAAAGAAAGAAAGGAAGGAAAGTGAAAATCACTGTGTGTGTGGTTTTTTTAAAGTGTGTCTTGTCCTTTGGGTATACTCCTAAGACTGGTATGGATGGATCATGTTGGAGGTCCGTTTTTAGGTTTCTGAGGACTCTCCACATTGGTTTCCATAGTGGCTGTATCTGTCTGCACTCCTACCAGCAGTGGATAAGTGCTGTCAGCTCCCCACAACCTCCCCAGTATTGTCGTCATTTGTCTTTTTGGATCACAGCCAGTCTAACTTGGGTAATATGAAATCTCAAAGTTGTTTTAATTTACACATCCCTGATGGCTAAAGAAGTTGAACATTTAGAAAAGGTATTTATCAGTCATTTGTGTTTCATCATTTGATAACTCTCTGTTTGGCTCCTTGCCCCAATTTTAAATTGTGCTTTTTTATGTTTAGATTTTTGGTTTCAAATTTTTATTTATTTATTTGTTTTTTATCTAATATGTATGAGTGCATTGCTTGCATTTAAGTACATTCATACATGCAATGCCTGTGGAGGCCAGAAGACGGCATTAAATCCCCCCAGAACTTGAGTTACAGATGCTTGTTAGCTGCCCTGTGGATACTAAGGACTGAACCTAGGTCCTCTGGAATAACAGCCAGTGCTCTTAAATGCTGAGCTGTCTCTCCAGATGTATGTTTGGTTTGTGTTTTTTTTTTTGTTGTTGTTGTTTGTTTGTTTGTTTGATTTTAGTTATTTGTTTAGTTATTTGTAATTCTAGACACTAACCTGCTTTCATATGCACAGCTGATATAGATTATTTCCCTTTCTGTAGGTTGTCACTTAACTTGAAGGATGGTATCCTTTGAAGAATAGAAGCTCTTTAGTTTGATGAGGTCCCATAATGCCTGAGCTGTTAGGGTCCCTGTTCAGAAGGTCTTTTCCTGTGCCTATAAGTTCTAATGTATTCCCTACATTCTCAGATATCATATTCAAGGTATCAGGTCTTATATGGAGGTCCTTGATCCATTTGGAGTTGAGGATTGTGCAGGGTTAGAGAGAGAAATCTGTTTTCATTTTTCTACTTGTAGCTGTCCAGTGTGACCAGCACCAAGAGATACCTGTTCACCCATGCTCATTGCTTCCCTATTCGTAACAGCCAAGGAATGGAAACAACCTAATTATGTGTGAATAAGTAAAGAATGGTACATTTACACACTGGGGTGTTATTCATCTGTTAAGGAAAGTAAAGTTATGAAATTCACAGGTAAATGGATGGGACTGGAAACGATCATCCTAAGTGAGGTAACACAGATTCCAAAAGACAA